CTATATAACTAAATACATACATATAATAAAAATAAACACCCATGAATGGAGTATAAACATTCGTGATCATCACACAACTGGATGCCCCCGCGGGACTCGAACCCGCGACCGCTGACACAGCAAGTAGGGTCACTACAAACGGAAATAAACTATATATAAAGTTAGTTAATTATTAGTAAAAATAATGAAAGCGTGTTAAAATATTGATCGGTGAAAAATTTCGGTATACATACCACCGTTGAAAAGCAAGGTATCAAAGGGGTCAGTGGTGTTTAATTAACCCAGTGATAACAAAGATAAGTAAATCCCCACTTAGCATGTAGCTAATTAGAATGACCCGTTTTACTGATCTATAAGATTTAGTAGATGCTTATCGCTTACTTGCTTATCCTACAATAAATAAGTCAAATTTTGAGTACATTAGTAGTATGAAGATGTGTTATAAATATATAATATGATTAGAAATTTAGAATACCTTTTAAACATAAAGGTACAACTATTTCAAAATCATCTTAGAAGTAATTTTTCAATTTATGGTGGTATTTTTTTTTAAATATGACACTTGAAAAATACATTCAAATTGTATCTTCTCTACCTTGGAAATTGATCAATTACTAAAAGAAACTAAAAAGCAGATAATGGACTAACAAGACAATTATAATATATATTATTTATTAATTTTCCCTATGACTGTTGTTGCTAGTTCAAATATTTATATTAATAAATTCAATTTAATCAAATCTACGATTATATCAATAAATGTGCTGTATAATTAATAATATAATAATAATATAATTTCATTTTAACCAATTCACAATAACGTTTGTTTTCATCTATTTTAAAAAAGAGGATTTGCATTTTTCTTTTTTTTAAAGTAATATGAATTATTAATAACGTAACGTCTAGGTGTTCCTATTTAAATAAAAAAAATCGACCACAGAGAATGAATCATTTTAAGTGATTTGAAGACAAATTTTCGTTGGTAAGTAAAAAATTATATTTATTATTATCGATTGAAAATCTATCGACAATAGTGTACAACCTTCCTATAAAATTGTAAAGGAAAAAAAATACAACAGATGGTAAGAAGTCTTGTAAAGAGTCTTGAAAGAGCTTTGTAAAAATTTGTCTAATTATTCGACCAAGATTTATGATCATGTTGATTTAATAGAAGATAACACCTTGGGAGTAAAGTCGTCACTCCTATGTTGTTTTATTGTGGTGGCTACGAGTTTTTATTTATTATTTACTTTCTTCTATTTATAAATGTATTTAAATAATATTGAAATAAGTAAACAAATTTTCAAGACCGTTTTTACTATGTATTAAATAAATATAGCTGCAATAAAGCAATTTCATTAAAGATATTGGGACATTTACACACAATACCATCTAGTTCCATGGTAAGCTACGAGGCTTGTGTTATGGATACCAAATAGTTGATACACTACACAATCACATATATAATTATATTCACATATAAATACATACATATTATAAATATAAACACCCATGACTGGAGTACAAACATTCGTGCTCATCACACAAATGAATTCCCCCAGCGGGGCTCGAACCCGCTGTACGTACAGCAAGTAGCGTCACTACAAACTGAGCTAAGCGTGTCGTCTTTCATACATGAAAATAAAGAAAAGCTTTACTTGCTGTTATGGTTCTGTATGAAAAATGTATATCTTAGACTAGTGACCCAGTCTGGATTCGCTTGAGTTCTCAGCACGATATAAATTACATAGAAAATAATTTTCCAAATCGGTGGTAGTTACAGATATTATCTCTAACTTACAAATCCACTACCACTTTATAATATTAGTATGGGCTGTAAGGTCATCTATAAGGCCAGGTGATGTCGCAATAGTCTGCATCAATAGACTGTTTACATCACGGCCCGATTCAATTTTTATTAGAGCTTCAATGATCGTAAACTTTAAATCTGGACCGTTAATCAAATCCGAGCGGATTTAGACACAACAACAGTCAAAATATTTCGTCTGACACCAGGATTTTTGCTTGATATGTCAATAAACATTACCATTTGTTGTAAGATATGACTGCAATGATTTTCTATTTTATACCTACTTTTTAAATATCTTTTAAGATTTTTTCGCAGATTTTGTTTGATTTTTGGTTCTTGAAGTTTTTTCCGCGACCAGGATTATTACAAAGCATCCGAAATATCTAGAACCACAAATCAAAATAATTCCACGAAAAAATCCAAAAAGATAATTTTATTTAAAATTTCAAAAATCGCGTACATCTAAGTATTATAGCTAGATACATTTTAATACTCGTAGAGGTAGACAAATGTTGATATTTCAATAAAACACGTCCTACAAAGCTAATATTTGTTTGTTTGTTTGAACTGTCTAATCTCGTCAATTACCGGTACAATTTGAAAAATTATATGGATGTATTTTGTATAGTTCATTTATTAGGTAAGGTCCTATCTATCTAATATCACGCTAAGAACCTTAGAAGAAGAAACTACGAGAATGAAGTCACGTGCTAAAATTAATATTTATATTTTATATTATAGTTATAATATATACATTTAAAGTTATATATGTGTAGTGTATCAACTATCTGGTATCCATAACACAAGCTTCGTAACTTACCATGGAACTAGATGGTGCTGTGTGTTAATGTCCCAACATATTTATAATTACTTAATGAAGGAAAGAAACTTAAAGATTCTTCCTTGTTACAATATACTTATACTATACGTATAACAGCCATGTAAGAATACTATGTATATCGTCAAGCCATAAGCTACCAAAAATACTTTCGATCCATTCTATTTGAAGTAGTGTAGTAGCCCAGTAGTTACGCGCTTGCTTGGAAGAACGAATGAAGCTGGTTCATTACCCGGGTCTCGCACCGCTGATATTTTCATGTGCGAATCATTTCCAACATAATTACACTTGTCTTATGGTGAAGGCAAACATTGTGATGAACCCTGCATGTCTGAGAGAAGCAAGCAAATTATCGAAAGACGTGAGATCAGCCATATATATACATATATATATACACATATATATATATCATGGTCAAGCGGCCAAGGCGCAAGATTAACAATAGGTGTCCAGATGTCCAGTCTTGATGTCCAGTCCTAGGTGAAATAATTAGGTGTCCGGGTTCGAATCCCAGTTGGACATAAAGTTATTAAAGTTTTTAGTTTAAAAAAAATAAATATATACTTTAGGCCAAAAACTCCGAGCGAAGCTCGGTAGCCTAGGTACTAATATTAGTTAGGTTTATTGATTGAAGTCCATTGCTAAAATATTTTATGAACAACAAGTAAAACGGATTCAAATCTAAGACTCATCCCTGAGCATCTCTGAGCTTATTGTGCGAATCATTTCACAATATAATTTTCGTTAGGTAATTTGGTGAAAGTAAACTTCGTGAAAAGTTTCATATCTGAGAGAACCTAACTAGTACACGAAAGAAGTCATGTTAACAATTGAGGTTAGGCCTACGCCCAGCAATAAGTCATCGAAAATTTCTGCATTTTCCTATATAACCATATAGCGAGTGTAGCTAAGTTTAGCTTTCTATAAATAGCAAACTAAAGGGATGTTTTAATATTACAAAATATTTTTCAATAACGTGAGTAAACTAATTACGTTTGTTATTTTAAGCGGAATTACGCTCGATTCATTCAGAAATCTGTTCAGATGACTGATCGTCGGTAAAACAGATATTTGCAATCCAGACCAAGAATAATTATAAGAACCTGTTGACTAAGACTGAATGACGCATTAAGGTTAATGGGAATACCTAAAAATAAAATTCTTAAAACTGACAGACACTTTATTATATATACTAACAAAATATTAGCGATTTACTCTAACATCGAAAAGGTTTTAGGTGCACCTTGAGTATCATACATTCACCCACCATTCATAGCCATGGAAACTTATCAATTAATAGGAAAAAAGTATCTCTGTACCCCATAAATTATACAAGAATCATGTAGCTGAAATAAGAAAAATCCTACAAATTGCATTACTAGCGATACATCCTACTAATATTATAAATGTGAAGGTTTGTGAGTATGTATGGATATTTGTTACTCTTTCACGCCAGAACGGCTGCACGGATCTGGATGAAATTTGGCATAGAGATAGATTATAGTCTGAATTAGTACATAGGTTGTTACTTTTTATCTCGGAAAAATGTATAGTTCCCGTAGGATAGATTTGTTTTTGTCTAGAGACGAACCGAAAGCCAAGCGAGACTAAGTCGCTACTTTATTATTATTTTTATTATGATTATAATTATAATAATTTTTCGATGATTATTACTCGTCGTTTATTCGACGACGTTTATAAAACGATTTCGATCGAATTCAAAAAAAGTAACAATTGGAAACTAATAATAATAATTAAGTGCTTGACCCACGAGTGTAAAATTTTTGTTGAGTGTCATTTTTGTAGAAAGATCGATAAACGAGGAAGGTTTGTGTATATAATTTCTAAATATTTTGTACTAAATATCTGAACTATCATGGGATTTAAAAAAATATAAGCTTATACGGCTAACACCGGCTTAACCTTAAGAGATATATGAAAATAATTCCTAATTATTAGTAGAGTTTCAGTAAAAAATTGTAATAATTTAATGCTGAATAAAATATTTTGAATTTGAATTTAATGTACTAGAAAATTACAGGTTTATAAAGGTCTAAAGAAAAGTTCACAATAGCAAAAAAAATTGTCTATCTCCTAAGGGTCACTCATAATAATTATTTTTATTTATTATTTATTTAAAATGTACTTAGCTAATAAAATATTAAAAAAAAAAGATAGAAACCGTCACTTTTTGTTTTTTTTATATACCAATTTGTAGTGCATGCAAGTTGTGGAAATTCTTAGCAAATAGGTATAATAGAAATAATATTCATTTACAATTCAAAATCGACAAGAAATACGAGAGTTGAAATTATAACGACTTAACAATTAACTTTATAGAAACAAACTCACCTGAAAAAATAGGCAAAAGCAGACCCATTGGTAGTACTTGTATATTTTCATGTCACTCATATCTTCCTTACCCTTCTCGCGGCTGTTGCCAATACCAGGGTACGGCACTTCCACACCCACTTTCTTGTGGAAAAAACTTTTCAATGTATAAGTCGAGTGTATCCAGCAATACGTGTTCAAGACGTCCTCAGGAATGTCCTTCGTGTGTATACAGTCTATAGGGTTGCCCACGTACTGCCTTGTAGTCACTATGAGGCTGAAGGCTATTAACAGTATAACTGTGATAGAGTAGTGCAACCTGAACACCGGTGAGTCGATGTGCACATAGTTCACCTTTATTAGATTTTTTAAACCGCGGAAAACGTCTAACATCTTAAACGCTTCAGTCCAATCTCACACACTTTTTGTTCCGTCACCTTCACTAACATTATTTGTTACTCTATTTATTGTTTTCGAGCACCAGAATTTTTATAAATGTTTATTTTTCACTTACAGCTCGTCGAATGTAAGGCACTTTGTATAATGGCAGTGGACATTTTATCATAGGCTTCCTTTGTGCTGGTGTATTTTTTTTGGTATTTTTATAAATTTGAGAAACGATACCATGTTGTCATATTTTCTACGTCTCATAATTTTTGTTTGTTCGCGCGGTCATTTGGTCGGCACGCGCGTGTCTTGGCTTGTCGGTTGTTTATTCATTAGCTTTGAATTATTATTAAAGCTGGAAGATCATATAGTAAATTTAAAGTTTCTGAGAAATAATTATGTAAACTAGTTCGCGGGTGTCGGTAATTTACGGACGTCGTCGATTCACCGGAGCCACTCAGGAGCAGAACGGTCAGTCGTAAAAAATAAGTTTCATTGATACTTTGTCGCGTGTATTCATATTTAGATGGCAGTTATGTCGCGTAAATTTTAGATATAAATAAATATTAGTCGTCACGTGGCTTCCATTCATAAGTTTTGAGAATTAAAATAAGATTATAACTTATTGTGATGAAGTGTTGGTAAAAAAATTGGTAAAATGTTGATGATGTAGTGGTTCTAACATGTTAATAAAACATTTCTTTACAAACGGAAAATCGATCTCATGATTCAAATATCAGTATAAAGCCCTTTATCACTCTATGCAACTACCCATCTGAGAAGTAGATACTTTTAGAATCGGATATATAGTTTACATACAATTTACAAGCTTTAAGACCAAAACCTAAAATGATAGGGTAAAAAAAGCGTGAAGTATGGTTGGTTTATTCGTCTTTTGCATCACAAAATAGTACCCAAGTATTTAGACCTAATCTGGACGTGACATTGCAAATGTTATTATTAGTAATATTTTTATTATGAATCATTATTTAAAATATCTCTATTAATATTGTATGTGACATTTTATTTGGAAATTTATAATTAGGTATAATTGTTTTTTTTCCTTTTAATAATTTAAGTTTATAGTTTAATCCACATGTTCACTTAAAATCTTAATTTATAATATAATTATCATGCTGTATTTACCTGTAATTAAAAGTGCATTAACATGTTAAGTGTAGTGCCAAGATGTGTTAACCATTGTAAGTTTTGTTGGTAATTCAATAAATAAATAAATAAAATGTAGATTTCCTACTGACTGATATTAGCCACGGTGGCCAATCTAACTGATACTAGACAAGTGTGTAGGAGATATTATAGTGTCTGTCCATCACAAAGTAGTGACAGACCGACATGATTTTTATCCGACTACGCGACGCAAAGGAGAGTAATGTGTTTATGAGTCCATGTATAAATATACAAGGACACTAACACACAGCACCATCTAGTTCCATGGTAAGCTACGAGGCTTGTGTCATAGATACCAGATAGTTGATACACTACACATATATAATTTTAAATACATACATGATGTTCTCCTAGCCGATTCCGGCTACGGCGGCCAATCTCATTGAGATTAGCCAACTGCGCAGGAGATATTCTAGTGCTCAAGTGTACGCGCAGACACAAGTGCACTCTCTATTCCTATCACTCTCATACTCCGGTGGGACGACCACTCGACACGACCGGTGAGAGTTAAGGCGCAGGACCGACAGCTTTACGTGCTCTCCGAGGCACGGGGGTGAAACACCGCCAACTTCCCAACTTCGGGCTATTACTGAGACTTACTATACAAAAAGACTCAATAACTAAACTTGGCCCAACCCGGGACTCGAACCCAGGACCTCCGTGTGTGCAGCCGTACATACTAGCCACTACACCACCAAGGCAGTTAAAATACATACATATTATAAATATAAACACCCATAACTGGAGTACAAACATTTGTGCTCATCACACAAATGAATGCCCCTAGCGGGACTTGAACCCGCGATCGCTGGCACAGCCAGTAGGGTCGCTACAAACTGAGCCAAACGTGTCGTCTTATGTATGTATGGTTTGTTCTTATGTGGCGTGACTAGAGACCAAACGCGTGGGTATACACGTTTTCCTTGCTACGACATGTACCTATGTATGTCTCCGACTGTATAATACTTTATTCCTTCGTCAACTTGCTTTCATCATTTTAGCTATTATGCAGTCGGTTTTTTTTAATATTTATATTTTTTGGGCCGTAGAATTGCTTTGCCACTTATTAAATCCTTAAATGAAGTACGTATTTAATTTAATTCTCGTTTGATATAATATGCCTGCGCAAACTAGAAATAGTTGCCGAAAAAAATTTAAGGATGGAGCTAAAAGACTTGGTTGGTAGTAAATTTTAGTAAATATAACAATGTCGTGCAATGAAACTTGTTTCTATGAAACTTGTTTAAAAATATTTCAGCGAAGCAGCGTCTAACAGAACATGATATCTTCAAGTGGGTTGCACGGGTTCTTTTGAATACTTGAAAGCCCTACCAACTTTATTCGGAATAAATGAATTAACTCTAACGAGACCTGAGTATATTTCAGTTGCTATGGAGATTTAGATATAAATAGAAATTATAGTGAATAAAATTAAAATACATGACTTTCCATGTAAAATTCTTAGTAATAACGATTCGTAGAATTTACGGATGCGAATGTTAATTATATATAAACTTCTTAAAAAGATATTAATATCTCATCTCAATGAATGCTGGCAATGATCATAAATACAGATAATAAAAATAGCAATTTCCATTTGAGCAATTTTCTTTCACGATGGGTGATCTTATCTTACTAATGCTACGCTAATGGGCATGGAATAATAGTGCATAAACTTATGAGCAAACACAGGTATACGTTTCGTTTCACACTCTTATAGTTCGATGAGATAGCAATCTGATACAAGCAGAGTGAGACCAATCTCCTCCATGTCTTCTTCATTCTACGTGACATTGGCGAAGTAATCTGTGCTCAACTGGCACGTTTGAAGCTTTTAACAAGAAAATTGAATTGAACCAGAGTAAGATCAGGATTTGGCGGCTTTACGTGATGTTAACTTTTCAAGGTACAAATCTTAAAAAAAGAGCAATTAACTTGCTAAATTTGATTTCTAATGCCTTTTGGTCGAGCGCGAGATCCGAATCTAGAACCTCCTATTCTACAGCTATATATACTACCACTAGACTATCAAAGCTAATAATTCAGGCACATTTATCACGCATGGACGTTGGGTTTGCGACTTTTAATGCTGTAAACACAGTTAGATAAATAGCTTTGAAATTTTTATTATAACAATGTTTTTCTAGCCCTAATTATGATTTTGACATCAAAGCTAAAATGATAAGTATAATAAAATAAAGAGTCTGTCACAGTCTTAATTGTAGGGATTTAAAACTATGTTGGTGGTCATACGTAAATGTTTCAACGGCTGCTTTGAATTTGTCGTTTGGACGTCATTGGAGTGGCAGAGTTTGTTAGCAAAATAAATTATTATAATACATTCTTGTTACGTTTTTTGTAAGACGATTTCAATCTTATTGATTGATTCAATTATCTTTGTTTAAAAAAAACTATTTATTATTTAAGTATTTAAGCTCTAATAGATTCTTTGATGTTTGACGCAAAGCTTTTAGTTTAAGGTTAAAAAGAGTTAAAAATATATTATTTATAAAATAACTGGTTTATTTTCTCCATAATTTATCTAAAATAAAAAAAATATACATATACGAGTATGTTACATTAGGACTATCTCGATTTAGTTATCGATTAAGAAATTAGTAAGTTTAATATTACCTAAATAGGCACATTTCACGGTCTAGTCTCTAGAAAATATATTGATATAAAGTAGAGAATAAAGTGATAAGTAAAATATATCCTGGTCGGGACTTATTATGTAACGTAATTATGCAGCAAATATAGAGTTACATATATTTAAACTTATAATAAAATTTTAAGTTGAATCTGTACATTAAATAGTTTTTGGAAAATATTATTAACTAATTTTAAATATTGCTAACTAATTTTATTGTTTGTTACTCTCTGTATTTTACATATAAGTGCAATAAAGAATAGTATATATTATTTAAATAGTCACTATTATCTATAAAATCTATAGAATCTATAGCTTTAAGAATTTTTGTCTGTCTGTGTGTCTGTCTGACTGGGAACGCATCACTAGAAAACGACTGGACAGAAATTGATGAAATTTGGTATAATGATAGCTGGTTATCCGGGTCAACACATCTAATCTATATTAAACGAAATCTATAGGTACTAAACGTTAAAACGTAACTTCGACCGAATCCGTGCAGAGCGAGAGTGAGTCACTAGTACATATAAGTAAATAAAACAATTCGACGAAAATTGTAGAGGCCTTTCTATTTGACTTTTGCTAGTGTTGGCCCAGTGGTTTAAATTCGACTATAATCATTATTGAAAGTTTAAGAAGATATGTGTAAAGAGAATTTACCTATATGAAAAAAAAGCTAATGCTCATCAATAGTTACTAAAAAAAATGGGTTGACAAATAGTCCCCTGTTTACTCCTGCAAAGGGTGCTGAACTATTTTGACCTTGCCTTTTTATATATACATAAACTCGTACATACATATTACACACTCTCTGCCACTTATAAATATAAAAGGTATCAACCAAACCTCATTTATTAAACTTCATCAAGCTACAGAACACGTTAAAGAAATAGGTATAGTATATATTATCAAAAACTTTATCTCCATCACGTTTGGCTCAGTTTGTAGTGACCCTACTTGCTGTGCCAGCGGTCGCGGGTTCGAGTCCTGCTGGGGGCATTCATTTGTGTGATGAGCACGTATGTTTGTACTCCAGTCATGGGTGTTTATATTTATAATATGTATGTATTTAAAATTATATATGTGTAGTGTATCAACTATCTGGTATCTATAACACAAGCCTCGTAACTTACCATGGAACTAGATGGCGCTATGTGTTAATGTCCCA